TCCAGCTGAGAAGCGGTGCCGCCAGGCCCTCACTTCGCAGCGCGGCTGTGGGGGAGGTGTCTGGGTGTGCAGGACCCGCTGGAGATCCCGGGTGCAGCGTGCTCGTGGCGGGGCCGGTGGCACAGCCGGGGACGGGCACAGCAGCCCCCAGCTCCTCCCGGGCAGCGGGGCTGCTCCCCAGGAGCCACAACATGCTGCTGACCCGCGGCCGTCCATGCCTCTATGCTTATAAATATCTCAAGGGTGGATGTCAGGAGGATGGGGCCAAACTCTTTTCAGTGGTGCCCAGCGACATCTCCCAACGGGGATGCTGAGCCTCAGAGCACCCTCCCTGTCGCCCAAGGAGCTTGGCAACCAGTGTGGGGCGACCAGCAGGTCTCCTGAGCATCCTCCCTCCATCTTCTGCGCTGTTCGCTGTGTGCACCCTCCGAGCTCTCCCCACGGAGCCTCTCGGGGCACACGGCGCAGGCCCAGAGCCCCCGGCAGCCGGGTACCGGCCCACAGAGCTGCCGCAAGGAAACCACGCAACCAGATTCACGTAGCAAGTGTCTCTTCAGCGGGTTTGCCCCTAGGTATAGGTGCATCTACCGAATATATACATGCCTTAGCAATAGTAACTGGAAACCGTGCCACGTGGGACTCGATGGTGCTGAACTAATGCGTACAAACGTATGGAGGGGTCCATGTACCCTCTAAGTACAAAGTTCCTCCCGTCCAGCCGCAGAAGGGTCCGATTTTGGGGCACGACGGGTGGCTTCGGCACCTGCCCAGTTTGCTCACGGAGCTGCCGGATCAGGAGGACAGAGCAGTGCCAGCCTGCTGCGGGATGCTCAGGGTGGTGGAGGCCAGCCCAGGTGCTTCAGCCGTGCTGCCACCCCTGGGCCGAGAGCCAGGGAGAGCCAGGGTGCCCGCTGCTCCATGCCCATGGGCTGCTGCAGGCTTGGCCATCAGGCAGCAGACGTCGAAAGCTCTGCTACGTGCCTTCCTCTCATGGCAGGTGAAGATGCCGGTTAACCCTGTGAGAGGAGGACCTGGAGATCTAGGTTCGGAGGTGAAAGCTGCTGACATCCCGCAGCCGGCTGCCGCGCAGCACCCTTGGGGCATCCAAAAATGCATTTCATGGGCAGCTGAGCAGCTCTGGAGTGGCTGTGGTCCCCTTGGTACACCTCTTGCCGGAGCTGGCATGCCCGCTGTTCCCCGGCCAACACAGCACACCACCCCCTCCAGCAGTCGGGCAAGAAGCCGGGCATGCCGTCAGGCTTCTCCCTGTGCAACTGGGGTCTGGCTGGCAGGGACGGGGCTTCCTGACCCTCCATGCAGCATGTCCAAAGCCCAAAATGTCCAGAGAGTTTTTGTTTTCAGCCTATAATTGCACAGCCCGCTGTGAGCTAGTGGCAGCTCCCGGCTGGCAGCGGCTGCAGGACAGTCCCTGCTCCAGCAGGCAGGTACCAGTGTGCATCCCTTCTCCAGGTGCCTGCCCTGCACATGGGTCAGGAGCTGGCTCACAGAGAAAGTCCAACAGACGCTCCTCCCCTCCAACTGGGAGAGAGAAGCCGCTCTGTCCCAGTCATTGTCACCAAGAACACATTGTGTCAATAAATAACCCTCATCTCAGCCCACGTCACTCCCGGGTTCGGGTCAGCACGTGAGCGGGAAGTCCAAGTCACCCCACGCCGTGGCTCTCCTTGCTGCCCTTGGGGTTTTCCTCTGAGGCTTCACTGTACAATGAGAACAAGACCAGCTGCCTGGGTTTCATTTCTAAGTCCGAGTGAAGTGGCTTCGGTCTGCGTATGGGGCTCGTCTGGGGATGGGGAGGGACAGGGACCGGGCTGGAGGGGAGCATAAGGATCATTCTTCGCTGGCTGACTCCTGGAGAAGGCGATGGATGTCCTGGAAGGAGGGACGATCTTTAGTGTCCCGTCTCCAGCAGCTGAGCATTAGCTTATAGACTGAGTCAGGGCAAAGTGCAGGCTGGGGAAGGTAGGTCTTCAAAACAAAAGGCAAAGATGACAAAGGGAGAGAGTTACTGCCATGGAAACCAACAAGCAAACTGCTCCTGGGGAGCCCATTTCTCCGGGCACTGGGGCGGGGGGCCGTGCCGCTGTGTGTCCAGGGGCAAGGGGACCCCAGACGGCACGGCGGAGGGGCTGGGGACGCCTGCCCACCTCTCCCAGCCTGGCTAAATGCCGGAGTGGTGTCAGCAGACAAGCGGTGCCTTGGGCTGCGTAAAGCACAGGACTTGCTGTGCTGGGCCCTTCACCAGAACGTCCTTCCCAGAGGAGTTCCTGCCCCATAACTCCCTCATAGCCAAGCTCCCTATCTGGCCACCTGAAAGCCTTTTCCCAGGTCCCTCGGTGTCCCAGCGCACCACTGCCTGTCCCGTCCCATCCCGTCCCGTCCTGTCCCATCCCATCCTGTCCCATCCCTACCTGCCGGCCCTGGTCCCGGAAAAACTCGCCGGTGTTTTCGATGACCTGCTCGTCGGACAGCTGGGAGTAGGGCTGCTCCCGGCAGAGCGTGAAGGTCTCCCACAGCGTCACGCCAAACGCCCACACGTCGCTGGCCGTCGTGAACTTGCCCTGGCCGGAGGGAGCAGACCGAGGTTGGGCACGGGCATTACCCCATGCTGCTCCATAAGCCCTAGGTGCCCAGAGCTCAGAACAGCTTTCTGGATGCCTCAGCTTCCAGATCTGGGCCCAGAAGGGGCTCAGTCCCCCAGACCTCCTTTCTGCCGGGGCCAGAGCCTGGTGAGCTCCAGGTCCAGCTTGCAGCGACTGCTCTGAGAGCTGGGGCTTAGTAAGAACCCAGCTCCCTGCAAAGATAAAAACTAACCCTGCTCCCTCTTCCAGGTCTGACTGTGACCAGGAAAGGATGTCAAGCACCCTACTCAAAGGCTGGGCACTGGGACACCGCAGATCACCACAGTCCCTCTGTCCTGCCCCAAAATGTTGCTACCACTCCTGTTGTCTGCAGGAAAAAGCTGGGATCTCGCTTTTTGGAGACTTCTCCACCCCTTCTGCACCCCCAGCCTGAGGTAAAGAGTCGGTGAGCAGCCCCAGGGCCGTGGCAGTGCCCGTCAGAGGACCCCAGCCCCTGCGTACCAGCAAGATGCTCTCCCAGGACATCCAGCGGATGGGGAGCACCGCCCGCCCCTGGATACGGTAGTAGTCCCCGCTGTAGAGATTCCTGCTCATGCCAAAGTCGGCTATCTTGATGGTGTAGCGCTTCCCCACCAGGCAGTTGCGCGTGGCCAGGTCCCGGTGCACGAAGTTGAGGGAGGAGAGGTACTTCATGCCGGAGGCGATCTGGGTGGCCATGAACCGCAGGTCACTGTAGCTGCCGGGGGGACGACACGGGAGGACTGAGGCACGGCCCGGAGCGGGGCATCCGCTGCTGGGCAGGGTGAGCCCTGTCCGCCCCTGCCCGTCCCTGGCAATGCTGCCTGACGGTGGGCGCGTGGCCAGCCGGCGGGGTGCCTGCCTGCTGGCGGAACAGGAACTGGTTGAGGTCTCCGTTCTCCATGTACTCGGTGATCATGCACAGCGGGTCATCCGCGATGCACACTGCCAGCAGCCGGATGATGTTGGGGTCCTTCAGCCGCGACATGATCTTGATTTCCTTCAGAAAATCATTCCTTTCCGGAACAGAAACCACACGGATCGGATAGACAGACCGAGTGGGGCACGGCACTGCGCACAGACCGGCCGAGCGTGCCACCCGCCCACCCAAGCCTCGTGGGGGAATCACGGGTCCCCTGCCCTGGGTCTGGGGGCATGATGGGGAGCTCAGGACTGATCCACGCACGGCTGTGGGGAGGACGTGGTGGGTAGATGGGGCTCTGGGGAGCTGGTGAGGACCTGCAAGGACCAAGATCACTGAATTGTGGCAGCCCGACATCCCCGGACAGCTTGGACCTGTGGTCCTCGCAGCCGCACTGAGCACCTAGATGCTGGAGGCAGGGGATGCTATCTAAGCATCCTGACTCTCCTGGGGGGGGTCTATGTGAGGGGCAATGCCTGGCTGTGCACACCCCCCAGCCCCATACCTGGCGTTCTTGTTGGCATCCGCTCGCAACATCTTCACAGCCACCAGCACGGGGCAGCTGGAGCTGGCAAAGCCCCCCGGGCCAAGGTCCTTGCCTGTGACCTTCTCCATCCCCTCCACTTCACAGAGATGAACCTGGAGGGGGGCGAGGGGCAGCCATTACCTCCGCTGTCTTGACAGCCTGCCTCAGCCCCCGCGAACTGGGACGAGCCTTGCCAGAGTCCTGCCTGTAGCATGTCCAGCTCCCACTCACCTCCCCAAACTGGCCTTCCCCCAGCTTCTCCTTGAAGGTCAGCAGCTTTCTGGGGAACTCCTCGACGGCCACATCCTTGCCGGAGAGCAGGTCCATGGTGAGGGCTGGCACTGAGTAGGTGTTGCCACCCGTCACACCCTGCAGGTTCACGATGTCGGCCTCGGCGTAGTGGGGGACGCCCTCGGGGACACTGGCCTGGGTCGGCTTCGTGGGGCCGCTGCAGCCTGGGGAGAGGACAGTGGGGACAGTCCTGCCATGGGTGTCCTGCCCTGCACCCTCTGCTCCCCGGTGCCCGCTTGCACCCCGGCCACTGGCTTCTCTGTCCCTGTC